AATGCTATTCCCACTTTCCTTATGATGTGTTTCGAATTCCCTATTAAAACTTGTAAAGAGTTTGATAGTCTTATTTCAAATTTCTTGTGGGAAGGTAATACTGTGTGTAAGAAAATTTATTGGATCGCTTGGCATAACCTCAAAAAAACCCAAAAATGAGGGTGGTGTGGGTTTCAAAGATTTTGAGAATTTTAATGATGCTCTTTTGGCCAAGACTGCTGGGTGGCTTATGAATAACTTTGATGACTTGTGGACAAGGGTCATTAAGGGAATCTACTTCCCTAACACTCATTTTCTTGAAGCTAAGAAAGGATCAAAAACCTTTTGGTGTTGGACTAGTCTAGTGGAGGGGAGAGAAATTTTGAATGATAATCTTTGTTGGCACATTCGCAATGGTAATTCTGTCAAGATATGGAAGGATTGCTGGATTCCCTCTCTCCCTACTTATAAATTGGTTACTGCTGATCCTGAATTAAGGAAATCCAATAGTCTAGTGGCTAACCTTATTAGTAGGCAGTGGAACCATTCGTGCATCACTCACCAGATTGATGAGGAAGCAATTGTAGCGAGCAAGTCTTTGCCTCTTCCTTCAGCTGATCGATCGGGTTTGTTGGACTTACGCCAGGAATGGATTATATACTGTACAACGAGGATATCAATGGGCTATGGAATGTTTAGCTATTGGGCTTCCCAAAGCTAGCTCCTCATCTGTAATTGCGGGAAATGTTTAGAAGACTCTTTGGAGAATCAAAACTCTGCCATGTATTATTCATTTTCTGTGGAGATGTCTTTCACATGCTTTGGCTGCCAATGAAGCATTAACAAAGAGACACCCGGGGGGGGGGGTCGAAGTTATGCCCAATTTGTGAAAACTAAATCTGAGACAATCAAGCATCTTTTTTTTTTTTTCAATGTTCTTGGGTTTGGTGTGTTTGGTTTGGTTGTGATCTTTCTATGAAGAGTAGCTTTGCTAATATATCCAATTTTGGTGACTGATGGTCTTTGATCTCCTCCTCTACCAATGGGATCTCTGATATGGAGCTATCTCATATTTTCTGGCTTCTTTGGTTAATATGGAAGCCAAGGAATGATAAGGTGTTCAATTATAAAGATCCAAATCCCACCTCTGTGATCAATTTGGCCAAAACATCAACTCTGGAAGTTTTGGAAGCCAACCCTCCTTCTCAACAAGCAGATATCACGTCACTGTCCAGCGGCAGATTTGGTGTCCACCACCTGCTAGTTTTTTCAAAGTTAATACCATTGCAGCATTTATTACAAGTGGGGGTGCTCTGACTATTGAGTGGTTTGCCGCGATGAAGTTGGTCAGTTTGTGTGGGGATTTGTTGATAAAGTAAAATCTATTTCAGCCTTCATAATTGAGGCCTTAGCACTAAAAAGAGCCCTCATGATAAAGTGGTATTCGAATGTGACTGTCTGAACCTTGTTCGCTGCATCCAGGAAAATAAACAAAATCTTGGAGAATGGATGAGCATAGGCATAATTGAGGATATCTCTACGCTCACAGCATCTAATGCCCGGTTTTCCCTCTCCTTCGCTCCACGCAAAGGTAATTGTGTAGAAGATTTCATGGTTGCTTCTGTTCTTAAAGGGGTGTGTGCGGTTGGATGGGTGACAACGCCAACACCTCTTTTTGTCTTATCTTCTAGCCAAGGATGTTACAGATGCTGGAGTTACCTCAGATCAAGCTGAAGCTCACTTGCTCGAGATGGCGTTGGCTGATATTTGTCTGGTTCTGTTTGCTATTCCCATTTGGTTTTGTCTTCCATTCTGATTTTGCCCGTTCCTGTCAATTTTTGCTTCCAGTGTTGCTTTTGAGTTTTTTTTCTACTGTATTGTTGAACAATGGCTTTCTTCCATTAATTAAGTACACCTTTGGCAAAAAAAAAAAAAAAGTAATTCTAAGAGTGTTTGGTTACGTGTATGTTCTCTCTAATTTTTATTACAAGGCATTCTAAAGGAGATGGGGGGTCCTTCTTACAAGTCACTTGTTGAATATATTAATTATAATTTTTTAATATTAATCTTATTTAAAGTCATTAAATACAAGGGAGAATATAATGTAAATATGAAAATTTTCTTTTTAAATATGAGTAAAATTTTAAATTTATCCTATTTTTCATAAATACAGATAAAATCTAAAATTTATAGGGAGTGCGTTGACATATGTTAACCATTAATTTTAGGATCATCATCATTTGGTGTTAGGTCCACAATAAATGTTGGGTCATTAATCATTATAACTATGATATGGAAATGAATAATTCAGATTCAAAAGATAATTATACTTTTACTATATCAGATTTTCGAAATTAAAGTGAGGTTCAAACTCATTTCTTGCTCATACATTCATTTGAAAAAAAAAATAAGAAAATTTCATATAATGTCATTAAAATTTAAAACAGTCCTTAGAAATTGGTTGAAGATATCTTAAAGACGCCTTTGTGATCATAATTTTCAAATCATAAATTAATTAAAATAGTAAAGTAATGATAAAGCATAATAGCATCGCGCAATCTATATAACCAACCCTATTAGTAGAATAAGGTCTATTGTTGATGTTGTTGTAAAGTAATGAGATTTAATACTATTACTTCCTATTTGAAACACAATTGAGCACTAAATGTAAGCATATCTCTTAGTAAAAATTTAAATTTTAGTTCATCATGTTGTGAGGGATTAACCCTTCCACTAGACCTAATCCTTGTTGGTATACTTTGGTTGTTTTTATTATTATATTTTTAAAATTTAAATTTATCATGTAAATTAAATAACTAAATTATGGTTGGATTTTCTTTTCTTTTTCTTGAAGAAAGATGTAAAATTGTGCTGACTTAACTACCTTGACATGTTTAATTTTCAAATTCGTATTTTTTGTTTGGTTTCATATCTTTGAAGATTTTTTTTTTTGAATAAAATCTTCCTCCATCCTCTACCTCCTTTCTTTCTTTTGGAGCAAAATTTGTGGGTATTAGAGGTCATCATTGCATCGTGAAGTTTCCCCAAGGCCAAGACCAACTGGTCCGTCTTCTTAATGATCCTCAGCACACTTCGGTTACCGAATTGAAGCTTTCAAGCTAGTGTTGATTGCTCTGGCTTTTAGTTTGGCAGAGACAAGGTCCAACTGGGTGAGTCCAGGATCCAAGCATTTCCAACCCAACTGGGAGACAGTTCTTGTCTAGACGTCGAGTTCCTCAATGCATTCGGCACAGGCCAAGATGTGGATGCTCAAGGTGGGACCCACTTGTATTGATGAGATGTTGATGCTCAAGGTGGGACTCACTTGTTTTTCTTTTATTACTACTACTACTACTATGCCTCGGTAGAGTTTTAATGCAAAGAGAGAAAAAAATGATGTGGATAACTTATACGCATGCCATGTGTGTATAAACGAGTCAACTACTAGTCAATGTCTTTTTTCCGTCAACTACTCATGGTGACATTGTATCCTCTTGAAAATGTTGGGGTGACATTTGGCCAAAAAATGCTTTAGACACTAATTGCATTTGTATTAAAACTTCAGAAAAGATTTGTACGTTAATCCTATAAATTTATAAAATAACTTCATAATTAATATATTAATTTTATATTTAATCCAACCCTAATCATCAGCTACAATTTAGCCCTAGTCGATGTCAGTGGTCTAGTTGATCCTAAAGCTTGGAATTTAACTCGAATAGGTCCGACTCCTTAAAAAGCTTGAATAGCCAAGTCTGACCTGAATTCCTTTGGACTTCTGGCGACCCAAATAGCTGTATTTTATTTTTAAAATTATTTTTAATTAAATTTTTACTTTAAAATTAATTATTTTATTTTATAAAAAATATAAAATATATTTTTTTGATACTCAAATGATGTATAGGACTCAAATATATAATAGTTTAATATAAAATGACCTAAAACTTAAAGAATTAATTCATATTTATTATATTTTATTTATTTTTTAAAAATATTTTTTTATTTGGGTATTCAGATCAAGCTTAGCCCAAATTTTTTCAGTAACATAAAAAAAAAATTTTTTTTAAGCTCAGCCCTAAATAATTTTAAGCCATGTTGGAGGTCCGACCACATTTGACCTCAACAATTTGATCTTAGAAGGTGGCTGTGAACAGGCCCCAGACAACAATAACAGGTGGACCCCAAACAATGTTTGATGGATTAACACAGGACAATGGCAATAGCCCAAGGGCTATAGATTGGTCTTAGATGACGATACCAAATCATTCCCAATTGATAGTGATGTTTAGCACCAAATGATGATGGTAAACGGAATGTAGATGGTGATCATAGTTCAGTCCTAGATAGCGGCAATAGACCAACGTCAGATGACAGCAGTGAATCAAAACCGAATGACGTCAATTTTAAAATTATAAAAGAATTATATTTAAGTATGGATTTGAATTTGTGCTAAATTCAAAAACCATAAATTCTCATAGATCCAAACAAAGTATTTGGCTTAAATCTAAATTTATATCCATCCAAACATAACATAAGTGAATTATAGAAAGTAAAATAGCTTTGTGTATACGGAAATTTTGAAATTGTATTATCTCTTATATATGCTTGGTTTGAAGAGGGAGAAAAGTGAGAAGAAAATAGAAAATAAAAAAAATAAAAAGAGACATTTTTAAAAATAGCAATTTCTTTACTATTTTTAAAATTCCCCCTTATAATTTTTCATCTTTGTTATCTTTCTCTCCGCATCCAAACATAAGGTTTAGGCTTCGACTGAAACTGAAATCTTAAAGTAAAACAATAAATTAGTCAGTTACGAAATTCTATTTCCAATCTATACGTTTCCTAGTTTCCTACTACAACCTTCCATACCAAGATATGAAGCGGCGCTAGCTTCATTAGAAATTGAAGCGATTGGCCGTGGGCTTTTCAATTTCATTGCTAGGGTTTTTTTTAGGCATTTCAATTTCTCTTGTCCACTATAAGTTTTTAGGGTTTTTAAATTGATCACTGCTTTTCAAAGCATGTCGAAGAGGAAGATTACTGTGAAGAGCTGCGATGACCAAGTGTTTGTGGTCGATGAGGCCGTTGCCGCTCACTCGCCAATTCTCAGCCTCTTCTTCACCGACGAGAATCATTCAGACGATCCAATCAGCTTCTCGAGGATGATCAGTGGTAAAGTTCTGTCTCTAGCAATCAAGTACTGTGCCTATCATGCTGATCATCGTCAGGTCATCGCTTCTTCTTCTTCTTCTGTGGATCCCCTCATCAACAGGAAACATGTAGCTGAATGGGAATATGAATTCATCAACGATGTTGCCAAGGACAAGGACACGCTTTTCTATTTGACTAAGGTCAGTTTCTTGATCTAATCTGTTATATCATTTTCATCTTGTATACTATGCCGTTTATTTGATTTGGAAGGCGTTTGTAATTTTATGTTCGTGTATTCATTGTCTTGTTTGGGGTTAAATTCACATTTTTTGCTGTGTGTTCCAATTTGTCACAATGTTTATTTCATTGAGTATGTTCTTTGGGTGATGGTCAGCATATATTATCCACTAAATTATAATTTCCATTCAGACCAGATTTTCTTAAAAGTTGGATTGTGATGGAGACTTTGGTAGTATGCATTGAGATTTAAGTAGGTTAGCTCTCCCATCTCAACAATTAATTTTAGGAGTAGGGCTCTATATTCCATTTAGGTATAGGCTTTTGATTGGCAGGATGTTGAGTTAAGTTCCATAGAATGTAGCCAAGACATTGGCTTTCCATGGGGCCCATTGATGGAAACTTGGTAATATAAGAACCCACGTTGAGTGGTAGTGGATTGGTTTTTCTATTTCAACTGGTAGTTTTTGAAGTGTGGTTCCCATCAAATTTGATACCCCATGAGATTGGTTTGTGTATTGAATTAAACTTTAACTGTGATGAATGACGCTTCTTACCTCTCTATTCAGTGGTAATTAGTTTCCTCGATATTGCATTATGATCACGATTTGGCTAATTGCTTTGCCTCCAATGTTTCGGATCTATCTATATGTTCCACTTTTTGTGGTACTTGCTCCTTTTTTGTAATGTTTCAGGCTGCAAACTATCTCAACATTGAAGGCCTCTTGAATTTGGCGTGCAAGAATCTAGCAAGCTTCACTGTAGGTAAAACCCCGGATCAAATACGCATTGTTTTCAGTATCAAGAATATTCATTATAAGGAAGAAGATGAGGAGATTCGTAAGGAACTCGGATGGCCTGAGTGATTATTCGAAGCTCGCTGCCAATGTTATGATAGAAATATAATGTGGATAGTTAACTATCATTTATAGAGCCTATACTTCTGGACAAAAAAGCCTATACTTCGTCTGTCATATATAGGAAGTCCTGCAGATTATATCCTTCTCATTTGTGTGATGGATTACTTGAAGTTCGTGAAACTTTTCTAGGTGCATATATTGAATATGGCGTCTTTGCTTATAATGATTGTATATTGCATGTCTTTTACGTATACTTTTGTACAGGCCCTTACTTTAATTAAGTCAATCTACTGTGCTTATGTGAAAATGAATAAATTGATTTCATTCTTTTGCTGAATGTGTCCGACATGAGCACAAGTTAAACGTAAGAGCCCATTTTAAAAGACTAATATATTAGAAGGAAAAGCTTTTTACATTTATAAACCCACTCCATCTTGTGAGGCTTCTTGATATGAAACTCATAACATTATCACCTTGTTCAAGATCTGACGTGCTTGGTGGTGCTTCACTTCACAAAATTCCATTCTTATACTAGTTAGAACTTTCTACTGGTAGAATTTTCCATGACACCAAGCCTCTCAATAAAAATACTAATGTCATGAGCCCATTTTAAAAGATTAGTATATTAAAAGAGAAAGCTCTTTACATTTATAAGCCCACTTCATTTGTGAGGCTTCCCAATATTGTACTCATAACATTATCACCTTATTCGAGATCTAACGTGCTTGGTGGGGCTACAATTCACAGAATTCCATTCCTATACTAGTCAGAACTTTGTACTGGTGGCATTTTCCATGACGTCTAGCCTCTGAATGAAAACATTAATATCATGAATATAAGTTTAAAGAAAGAGCCTCTCACACTTTAAAACCTTACTCCACTTGTAAGGTTAGGTTCCTTGATAATGTTATATCATGGACTTATGACATTATCACCCCATCTGAGAGCTAGCATCCCCAGGATTTCAACTCCATAGCACTTAACTCTTGAAGCTCTAAACATCTCATGGTTAGTCCTTTCCATGACTTTGGCCTATCAATGAAAGTATTAATATCATGAGCACAAATTTAAAGTAATCCCATCCTAAAAGACTAAGCTGTTAAGAGGGAGCCCCTCACACTTATAACATTATTTTACTTGTGAGGCTTCCCGATGTAGGTACTTATGACATTGTCCTTGAGCATTAGTAATTAGCATGCTTTTCTTGTTGTACAGAATTGGCTGTCTCGGGCTGTTCCATGAATGTAAATGGCAACTCTATATGCTAATGAAGGGGAAAGGGTCCCATGTCTTTCAATTCTGTTGTTTGGAGTTTGAATTTCTATGGTAAACAAAAAATAATGGACGTTTAATTTGAGTTTGTTATCGGGGAAATTGATTATCTAACCAACATTTATCAGCAAATATTCTGATGTAATGTCATGTAATGTTTACGCATAAGTTTAGTTATATAATGTTTCAATGGTCTTTGTAGATTACTATTTTACGATCACAACATTTTCCAGTCTTTTTCTTCTACATGGAATATTATGAAAAATTCTGCCACAAATACATAAAATGGTCCAATTTGTAAAAGCAATATATATATATATATATATAGGTCAAAAGCCATCAAAATTCTCCAAATTGGTGTGAGCCAAAATACATACACGCGTATTGTTTGTACATTTGATTTTTTTTTTCTACATTTGTGTTTTGGGTTTGACCGTGCATACTTTTTAATGCAACGAAATGAATGTCGTTTTGGTATCTTATTTTTTTTAGCTAAAATATATAAAACTCCCTTGAATTTTGAACGAGAGGTATATAACTCCCTTCAACTTTAAAAGTTTTAAATTAACTCCCTTAACTTTTTTTTAAAACCCCTACTATATATTAATTATATTATTTTTTTCATGAAGATTAAAATATTATTTAATTGAAAAAAGTTATTGAACAAAATATTATATTGTAGTATTATTTATAATCAATTTCTTATATTTTGTTTTAGATAATTATAGCATTGACAGTCAAAAAAATGTTATTATCATTGTATAGAATTTTAAATTTTTACGTTTATATTAGCTTAATAAATTTTTTTGTTATAAATAGTGCATAGTTTTATTGTTTTAAAAAATAAATTTTTATTTATATTTTTAGGTTATATTAATGTAATTCACATGATTAAAACATTTAAAATTTTAAATGTTATCAGGTTAGATTAATTTATCTTTTAATACAAGAAAATTATGTATCATTGATAACAAAAAATGGATAAAACTAATATAAAAGTAAATATTTAAAATTTTGTACAATAATAATAACATTTTTTTAACTATCAATACCTCAACTATTTAAAAAATATATTTAAGAAATTGATTAGTTATAGTTCTACAATATAATATTTTGTTTAATAACCTTTTTTATTAAATGACATTTTAACCCATATGAAAAAAATAACATAATCAATATTTTGGAATTTTTAAATGTGAGGAGAGTCATGTACAACTTCTTCAAAATTTAAAGAGATTTTATGCATTTTAACCTTTATTTAAAAAAGTATATGAGAATCTTCTCTCTTTTTCCAAAAGAAGCAAACATATAACAGAAAAAGTTATGGATATGGAAATCATTTTTTCTTGAATTTAATAATAATTGAATTTTCTTCGGCAAAATGTCATCTAATCCACAATTGTCCTTTGTAAGATATTATTTTAAAGATCAGATGGATAGGGTGTGGATATTAAAGCCATGCTAACAATTTACTTTCTTTGGAGTTTTCAATTTCTCGATTAAAGGATTTTTTTTATTACCTCAGTCTCTGAAAATCTCTTAAAAGCAAAGTTATGGAGACTCATAGCAAATCTGAATTTGAGGCATGGTCAACTGGAGAATATTATTTGTTAAATAGCAACGAGTAGCGAGTATCGGACGGTGTTTATTAGAACAGCTTTTTTGGTCGAAGGTATTTATTAGAACCAGATCCTTCTCTTTCATATAGAGAGAGAGAGAGAGAGTGAATTCTTTCAAAGATGAAGAGATGATTTAGAGAGACAAAGATACATAAGAGGTTGCTTGGTTTTTATTTTAAAAAACAGTTTTTTAATAAAACAGTTTAAAATATTTTTAAAAAAAGTGTTTTGATTTTAATTATTTTTAAAATTATTTTAATTTTATTTTTTATTTTCAAAGTAAATTATATTTGATTATTGAAAATTATAATAACATTAACCATTCACTATTATAGGTAGATACTATTATTAATCACCAACAACTATCATTGTCGATTAATTTTTTATTTTTGAAACTTTTTTAAATTAATACATTTCAATAAATTTTTTTTTGTTTTTAAAAAATAATTTTAAAATTTATATTGCAAAATAATTTTTAAAAGCCTAAAAATATGAACACGAAGAAGGAGCTCCTTTTTTTTTTTTTTAGCCAAACCAAAGAGCTCCTAATTAAGTGTTAGGCCTAAAACATTTTTGGGCCTGACCCGTACATTGGGCCAGTGAACAGTTAAATGAAACGGTGCGTCGCCTTTACCATATTCCAGAACGACCGTCTACCAACCCACCACGATGCCTTGTCCATATTGCCGAATGCAGAGCACTTCGTAGTCCACGATAAAAGCAATTTCTCTACACGAACTGGTTACGATTTTTATTTTTTATTTTTGGTAGAAAGTGGTTACGAATTTAAATTTATTTCTTCCTATAAGTCATTTCCTAAAAATACTCCTTCATTCAAAATATAAGATATTGAATAAATTTATATTTTTTTTTCATTTATATTCTTGTTTATTTGTTTGTCTCTAAATGCTATATATTTAACGATTAGGTACGTATCACCAGAAAGTCTTGAAATGACAAACAAATAAACAACGATATAAATTTATGATGGTATATATTGTGATTTGAAAGAAATATATAATAATAATTACTCTCCTTTAAGAGTGTGTTTGGTTGAGAGGCTTTTGGGGAGAGGAAATAAAAGGGAAGGGAAATAGGCAAATAGCTCCGCTCTCCTCTTTTGATTAAAATTTTTTAGAGGAAACTTATTTTGTTTTCTCTTGTTTTTTTTAATGGGGGTTTTTCTTTTGGATAGGAGTTCAAGTTTATGATTAATCTGCCATAATTAATTTTGCTATATTCCACAACTACCCACAGCTAAGGTCTGATTCGACAGACCCATTTCTTTCTTTCTCTGTGTGTGTGTGTGTGCGTGTGTGTGTGTGTTTTTTTTTTTTTTTTTTTACGCTGAGCTTTTTGTCATCCTCTCGCTATCATCATTTATTGGTTTCCCCCTTGCTCTGAAGCCCTTCTCGCAGGACATTACCAAAGAACAATATATTTTCTTGGACTGATAAAATAACGTTACTAGCTGGTCCTTATCCGCACAGTATAATAGTAAAATATTTAGTTGATACGTCTTGGAAGGAAAGAATAAATGGTAAATGAATATTTTGTTTTCTGTTTATATATTTTTTTGAATAAAAATTTATATCATTTTTTTAAAACTCATATGAACAATATGTTAAAATTAGAGTTATTTTTTAAGAAATTGTACAATTTGAGTTTAGACTTCAGATGTAAAATTGATTTATATGAGAAAGTGAAAAAAAAATTCATATGAGGGTATAATAATAAATTACTTATTACCTCATATTTCCTCCACTTTTAAATCGAACAAAAGATTATTAAAAACTTCTCATCTCATCTCTCTTGTAATAAAACTAAACAAAATAATATTAAAACCTTTCTTTTTCTGAACCAAACACGGCCCAAAAGAGGAATGAGCTGTTAAAAGAGACATCAGCCAACCATCAAACCCTCCAGTCAAACAATTTACTCCCAACATGCATGCAAAGCATCATCCCGTTGTGACTATGCCACTTGGATATTCTATGCAAACCTAGAATTAGCCATAGCTCTTAGGGCATTTATGTTATCAAGTATAGGATAAAGGTATATTTTTACTTTTAAAGTATTTTTCAAAAAACACTCAATACCTTAAGATTTTTATTG